CCCCCCAACAGCCACCTCCCCTCCCCCTAAAAACAGAAGCATTTCATCAAGAGTGACATGGACAGACTCACAGAATAATGGAAAGTTGACAGAAATGAAGGACAGACAGGCAGATGGAAACATGGTTCTCTGGACAGAGGGCGCAAGGCCAGGGGCGGGGAGCGGAGAAGGACAGGCCAGCACCTGAGCATTAGCAGGCAGGTCCTGGAGCTGCCGAGGACGCCCAGCGGGCCACCYGGCTGCCCCACACCGCAGCAGGACCCTCAGCACAGGCAACTCCCACTGTCACTGGGGCAAAACTGCCACAGCGCAGCGCTCCGCCCCGAGCTCACCCAGGTAGTTGACGCCGAGCTGCATCTCGAAGCCGTCCTCAGTGGTCCAGTGCGGGCACCGCATCACGGCAGCGTTGTTGATCAGAATGTCCACCCGCTCCTCCTCTGGAAGACAGGGGTCAGGACACACATGAGGGCGAGGGCTGACTCCACCCCTGCCCGGGGCTAGCCATGTCCCCATGCACTCCTGGCCACCTCCAGCCTCTTGGAAATGAGGTCCCCACAGAGGTGTCCACCCCCATGCGGACGAGGTCATYAGGGTGGGCCCTGATCCAACAAGACTGGGGTCCTCCCAAGGGAAACAGGTTCAGGCTGAGACGGGGCGGCCTGGGGCGAGAGAGGGGGACTCCTGATCAGCAGCTCCAGAGCTGCAGAGGCAGGAGCTCAGCCCAGCATCCAGAGGGAGGGCGGCCCTGGGGACACCAGGCTCAGGCCCCTGCACCCCAGTGAGGGCTCCCCTCGGGCATTCCGGCCMGGGCTGTGGCTCTGTGTGGCACGGCACCAGGTCGCTCATGCACACAGGCCCGTCTAAACTCGCAAGTCTTGGGGCTGGGGATGTGGCTCAAGCCATAGCGTGCTCGCCTGGCATGCGTGCGGCCCAGAGTTCGATCCTCAGCACCACATACAAACAAAGATGTTGTGTCCGCCGAAAACTAAAAAATAAATGTTAAACTCGCAAGTCTTCCCTGCAGGGACCTCGGGGTCACTCACGGGCCCTGGGCAGGAGGTGGCAGTCTCATGCCTGAGCACCTGGCTCAGACAGACTGGAGCCTCGGTTTCCTGTCCTTAGCGGGTGAAGAGCAGAGCTCCCCACACACGCTCATCTGCCCCGGCTGCCACTGCCAAGTGCCACAGGCGCGGCCAAGTGCCACAGGCCGGGCCAAGAGCAGAAATCTGCGGTCTGGGTTCCAGAAGCTGGAGACCCGGGGGCCAGACGCCACCGCCTGGCGCTGCTGAGGCTGAGGGAGAGCCGCCTCCATCCTCCCCTCGGCTTGCAGGGACGTCTTCTCCCCSTCCCCAGGCGGCCTCCCTCTGTGCCCACCGTCCCTGTGCCAGAGTTTCCCTCATGAGGACAGACACCTAATGACCTCACTGTAACGGGATGACCTCTTAAAGACCTGTCCCCAGGTGGTCACATGCTGGGGTCCAGACAGACAGCAATCAGACCTGGCTCCATCCCCATCAGCTGTGTGACCCTGGGCAAGTCACATAGTTTCTCTGTGACTCAGTCCACCTTTTTAAAAAGGATAATAGTACCTGCCTGGTAGAGACGTGTAATTGTCACTCACGCGACAGGCACGTTCTGAGCCTACCAGTGGGGCCTGGAAATTCAGGGTGAACAAGACAGTCAAGTCCCCGCCTTCCCAGGATGGACGTCCTGGTGCAGCGAGGAGCCAAACCCAGAACAGAGACTGCTCTGAGGAGGGAGCTTGGCAGAAGCGACGGGTTGAGGAAAGAACACGCTGCTGAGGAGGCCCAGAGCCACCGGAGCTGAGGCTGGGGCCAGACGGGGCCTKCGCGGATCCGGAGGGGGCATGGGCAGGGCCCAGCGCGGCCAAGGTCTGGGGCTGGATGGGGGCTCAGCCTGCCCGCGCAGGCGTCCTCCAGCCTCCCCTGTACCTGGGAGTGCCTCGCTGTGCCTCGTTCTTGTTGCTCTAAGACACACAGGCGTGCCACCCACTCAGTTCTAAGCCTCTTGTCCCCAACGGGTGATCTGAGGGGACGCTAAGAGGCYGACACTTGACCTCCCAAGGCCCACAGAACAAAGGACGTTTTAATCAGCTCCCAAAAGAGGGACAAGAGGCTCAGGGGAAGCTCAGTCCTGGGCRTGGCCAGCCCGCGCCCTGCGGCCCCCAGGCCTGTGCTGGGAACCAGTGTCCACAACTAAAAGTGGGAAGWGGAGCTTCCTGGAGAAATCTGCTGGGGCCACATGCATGAAGGGTGCAAAGAAGGTGTTTAATAAACGTCCATTCCCACTGCTCCGGCACTACCCCGAGTCACCTCACCCCCACGGGGCAGCGACACTGCCCGCCTCCCCACTCATCTCCCTGCCGACCAGGACCCAACCTGGGCCCAGAAAACGTCCGTGGAGTGAATGAGACTCTGTCCTCTCTGTTCATCCACTAAGGGGCGGCTTCCTGTTGGCTGGGGAGGGCTGGCGTCCGCCAAGCCCATCCAGAGCCAGTCCAGAGAGGAGACAAACAGAGGCTCAGTGCAGCTCCCAGGGGGAGGACAGGTACAACCCCCACGGCCTTATATTCAGAGGAAAATGGGCGACAAGCTGAAGGACCAAAGCAGGACCTGCCAAGTCCCAGCCCGAGGCCCCAGCACTCCTGCAGACGCCCGCTGGGCTCCCAGGCCACGGTCACTACAGGGTGCCCGTTCCTGAACACGGCTAAGAGCAGATTTTAAGGCTGAGGATGGGACTCAGGGTGGAAGGCTGGCCCAACGGGAGGCCCTGGTTCCATCCCCAGAACCAGAGAGAGAGTAGGTCTGAAATGCTCTCCCCACCCCACCACCACAAAACGGTGAAGTGGGAGGTGGCTCCTGGTAATGACTCCGTTCAGCCAAATACACGCACACCCACTTCAAGACAAGTCAGGACACACACTGCCATCTCAGCAGCTCAGGAAGCCAGGCAGGAGGACCGCAAGTTCAAAGCCAGCCTCAGCACTTAGCTGGGTCCTAGGTAACTTTGCGAGACCCTGTCTCAAAATAAAATATGATAAAGGCTGGGGTGTGGCTCAGTGGTCAGGTGCCCCTGGGTTCCATCCCCAGTTCAAAAACAGAAAACGCCACATGGACGGAAACTGTCCCCTATCTGGCTGCTGCGGCTGTGGAGCAGCTGTGTCCGCGGTCTTCTTCCTACTCCTCGGTATCTGACCGACTAKGGTGAGCGCATTTCTTACACCATCAAGGAAACAACCCGACCATCATGCGGACCTTCACTCCTCCTGGCCAGGCCGCTCCCGCAGAGCCGAGGGGAGGGAAGGGGGCAGCTTCGCCCCAGCACCACGGAGCGCACGCCGCATGTACGGCCCGAGCCGGGTTCCCAACAGTTCTCATGTCAGAAGCTATCACTCTTCACGAGTTTTTCCCCAATCTTTTGAAATGAACAACATGTAAATATGAGAGTGTAAACTAGGACTTCAACACCCCCTGCGGGCTGGGCCGCCGCAGGAGGTGCCTTTGCCCACAGCCAGGGGCTGGCTTTGCCCGCGGCCGCGTGGGCAACCTGCTCCAGGACTTGCCCGGCTCCGGCCCCTCAGAGCTGGGCCCGAGTGGCCACCCAGACCTTGGCCCGCGAGGCCAGCGTCCCCCGCCTACCTTCAATGACCTTCGCAGCAAACTCCCGGACGGACTTGAGGGAAGCCAGGTCCAGGTGCCGGGCGCTGACGCGGTGATTGAGGGTCTCCCCGCGGATGTCCCTGGCCGCGGCCTCGCACTTCTCCATGTCTCGGCAGGCCAGGATGACATGGCCTCCTGAAGCCCGGGTGGACACGAGGAAATAGAGCAAACAGAGCACCCCCAGGGCTTCCAGAAACAGAAGGCTACGTCCCCCTCCCCCAGTATTCACAGCAGCATGCTCTCRATGGCCAAAAGTGGACCTGGGTGTCCGCCACAGGCCAACGGATGAGCAAACTGTGGTCCAGCCTGTGGCGGGGGTTACTCAGCCCAAAAAGAGAAGGACGCACTGCCTCGAGAGCAGGGGACCCTGGAGTCACCACATCGGTCGCTGCCACTGACCAGAGCCCCCCGGAACAGGCGAGGCCACAGACCAAAGGAGGACTTCGGCTTCCTACGGCTGGTGGCTTGGGCATCAGCCAGGATGGGTGAAGCGACCAAGGTATCTAAACTTCAGGGTGACAAGAGTGTCTTAAGACAGGTAGTGACGACTCTGAATGTCCTCAACATCACCGCATTGCACATTGAAGGGGTGGACTGTGGTGTGACGTGCAGGTGGCCTTACTCGCCACGGGTCTCCACCCACACACCCACTGCAGGTTGAAAATGGGAGAACTGAGAATGCACCTCGCTTGCCTATCAAAAAGGCACACTCCTGTGATCCCAGGGACTCAGGAGGCTGAAGCAAGAAGATCAAAAGTTCAAGACCAGCCGCAGCCACTTAGTGAGGCCTAAGCAACTTAGTAAAGACCATAACTCAAAGTAAAAAATAGAAAGGGCTGGGGATATGGCTCAGTGGTTAAGCTCCTCTGGGTTCAATCCTTAGCACCAAAAAAAAAAAAAAAAGAAGAATGCACCAAGCAAGCCACTGCTCAGCCTGCCCCCAACATGCCTGCTAAGTTGCTGAGGCTGGCCTAGAACTTGTGATCCTCCTGCCTCAGCCTCCCAGTGGGATGACAGGCATGCACCACTACACCCAGCACAATCTCCTTCCTTTTGAGGCTGGATCACAGCCCACTGTATGGCTGGACCACGTCTTATTGATGGTCAGCTGTGGGTGGACACAGCTGCCTTCGGGCTGCCGTGAACACTGGTTGTGAGAATCTCTGTGAAACAGGAAAGCAGGCAGGCCTCTACCTCTTCTGGCCAGTTCCAAGGCAGTTTGTTTCCCGATGCCTGTGTTGGCTCCCGTCACGATGACTGTCTTCCCGGGTATGGTGGCCTTGCTGGGACAAGTCCCACCAGCAACATAGTCTCTGAAGGCAAGGAAAAGAAACAGCCTGGTCAGTTCTGGCTGTCCACTCTGACCCCATGTGCCCCTGACTGTGGTCCCAGACAGTCCACCCRGAGCTCACGCCAACCGAAAGACAAAAACTACACTAACGCTGCAGTGTCCCAGCAAGGGGTCCACCTGGAGCCTGGGCCCGGGAGGCCTCCACAGGGCGAGCTGTATGTTATGAATACGCACTGCCCGAGTGTCCTGTGCCTACCCTAACAAGTCCCCATACACCTAGGGGTGAAAACCCCACAGAGTGCTGTCCTACGGTTCTGCAGGTCACAAGTCTCGCTGGGCTGCCGTCTAGGGGAGGTGACACCGTCTCCCACGCAACCCAGGATGACTCCAATCTCAAAGCCCTTCACTAGACCCACCTGCACGGTCCCCTTTGGCAGGTCTGGGCATCTAGAAGGAGCCTTGTTCCGCCTGCCACCCCCACACTGCACAGGAGCAAGCCACCATCCTCAGGAGGGGGCTGGCCAGACAACCCTGGTCCACACTGGGAAGGCCACCGTACAGTTTGCTACCAGCCACCTGAGGCTGAGTTTTGTGTAAATTAATTAAGTCCCTGGCCCAGGCTCTCCCTCCCCCGCCAGCACACAGGGCAGCCACAGGCAATGTGTAAAGACACGCTGCCGCTGGTTCTAATCGGACCTACTCACCAGGAGGGGCAGTGGCCAGGTGTGGCCAGGAGTCACAGCCTGCAACCCAGCACTGCGCCGCGAGGACACCACAGAAACAGACACCTCAACCGGGCTTTGTGGAGCCCCGAGTGAAGCCACAGCCCAGCTTTCCAAAGGGCCCGGCCCACGGAGCGTGCTCAGGGAAACACTGCCCCACCCAGGGACTCGTGCTGAGATGGAGGGGGACTCAGAGCCACGCACACAGATTCTCTGATCAGGTGCCTCTGGCAACCCCAGGAGGTGGGAAAGGCAAAGCCCTCAAGTCAGAAAGGGTCAGGACTCAAAGCCAGGTCAGTCTGGTGACAGGGTGGATGATCTCAAACCAGCCCATGTGCTACCGGGGCCACCACAGGCCAACCAACCACAGCCCATCATGATTACCTGACCATGCCACACTAGGTCCACACTACCAACCTAAAGTTTTATTTTTTTATTTTTATTTTTTTTAGTTGTCAATGAATCTGTTGTTTCATTTATTTATATGTGGTGCTGAGGATCAAACCCAGGGCCTCACACATGCAGGCAAGTGCTCTACCACTGAGCCACAACCTAGCCCTTATTTATCTTTTTAATATAGTAAATTCTTGCTTGGGAGGCTGAAGCAGGAGGATCACAAGTGCAAAGCCAGCCTCAGCAACTCAGCAAGAACCTATCGCTAAATAAAATGCAAAAAGGGCTGGGATATGGCTCAGTGTTTAAGTGCCCCTGGGTTTAACCCCTGGTCCAAAAAAATAAAAAAATAAATACACACACACACACACACACACACACAGAGTAAATTCTTGTTTTATGCGGATATACTTTATTTGACAAATAAAGCCTATATGTATTTATCATGTTGAGCATATTTTGAAACATGTGCACACTACAGAATGGCTAAATTAAGCCTGTGGCCATATACATCATCTCACCTACTTATTTTTGTGGTGAGTAAACATAAAATCTATTCTCAGCGATGTTTAGAAATACATACATTGTTATTAACCACACCCACCATGGTGTACAACAGATCTACTTGTTTGCTTTTGGGTAAGACATATACTTATGTGGTTCAAATTTTTGAATTTCTGAAGTCTTCCTCCTGCCGGCCCCAGTTAACCCGACCGGCGCTGCAGTAGGCTGTCTGTTCCTTCCCTTGTTTCTCACCTTCACTTTTATTTTTCTGGCTTTGGTTCTATGTAAAGTACACAGCACACCCACAATTTGCCTTCATGACCACTTCTCTAGGGGATAGTTCTGTGGCACCAAATATGATCATAAAATGATGCCACCCATCTCCGGAACAATTTTCATCTGTGAAACTGAAACTCTGCCCCCTTTAAACAGCAACTCCCCGATCGACACCCTCCAGCCCCACCTTATGAATGCGACTCCACTAGGGACCTCATTTGTTACCCTTCATCACACTGTCAACACCAGCCCACCTCCAGCAAGCCCAGTGTCGCCACCTCCCCATGGTCAGCCTCACCCAGCCACCTTCGGAGCACCCTTGCCACTCATCCTCACAGAGCTCCCGTCCCTCCACCCTGTCCTGCACATCCTGGCCAGACAGACCTCACCAGAGCATGGTTCAGATCGCGTCACTCATCTGTTCAGAACTCTGCAAAAGCTGCAGCCCCTGTCAAGCACAAAGCCCTGCACAGTTCACCTCTGTCCCTCTGGACACCTGCACCCTGGGCAGGGTGAACATGGAGGAAGCCTGGGAAATAGCTGAGCTTACGAATAGGGGCTATCTTCACAGGAACTAAAGAAACACAAATTAATAGGAAATACCACTCTTTTCCCTTTGATTTCATTGAGTTGTTTTTTTTTTTTTTTTTTCTGTGTGTGTGTGTGTGTGTGTGTCTTGCTGAATTGCCCAGGCTGCCCTGGAACTTGAAATCCTCCTGCCTCAGCCCCCTTTACAGCTGTGATTACAGGTTTGTGCCATCATGCCCAGCACAATTTATTATTATTTTTTAACAATAATATCCAGAGTTTACTCAACTACTCACAGGAGATTCTGCTAAACCTTCCAGGATGGTGACTTAGTCTTAGGTGTCAAATCCATAAATGTGTGCATTCCCTCCCACCCTCTTCTAGACACCTATCCTAAAGTGCTGGTATGTATCCAGGAGTGCCACTCTTCCACATTTTTCTGCAGGTATTTCTACCTGCAGACAGCAAGCAGTCAGTAAACAGGGATGGGTGACAATGCAGCCTGAGGATGAAAACCTACAACTTCCAAATGACAGTCTGAAAAAACAGGTATGAACGCGTACCCTTTGTTTCAAAGGTAGAAACAAAACAGGGTTCCAAGCACAAGGTGTTGGGAAGACTGGGGTTCCTGATCCAGACGCCGGGAACAGGAAGCTTCCCACTCCGCGACTCCCGCGAGTTAACAAGGAATGGCGCGGTCCCCGTGGTGTGTCACTACTCTGCAGTCAGTATCGTCCCGAATCTCGCAGGAAAAGGAGAAAGTAAGAGGGAGGAAGGGAGAGACAAAGGCAATAAACTTCTACGAACACTTCCTTTTAACAGGATCTTTCCGTTTATGAGCTGTACAATTCCGTTTGTTTCTTTAATTCTTTGGTCTAGGCCAGCGGGTGACAGGGGAAATGACTGAACTCACAAATACGGAAGGAAAGAGCCCWAGTGCGCACCAGGACCCGGCCCGCCCTTGCTCTGGGTGACCTTGGACCGACGACTCGCGCTCGCGGCCCTGGTTTACGGTTCACTTTCTGGAAGGCACTGCCCAGGGGGAGCGGGGACTCCGGGGCCGAGAGGTCGGGGCCCCTTCCCGGGCCTTCCCTGGCCTCCAGCGGCCCGCGGGCCTGCGACGCGCGCACGCGAGCGGCACATACTCACTTGAGCAGCACGGCGCCACCCACCGCGGTGCCCAGCACCGACGCCGGCAGCAGGTAGCGGCTCATGCCCGGCGAGGAGCGGGCTCCGCCGAGGCGGCCCGAGAACCAGCGCGCAGCSCGGCTACCCACGTGCTGCCGTGCAGCCCCGCCGGCCGCGGCCCCGGAACTGGGCAGGGGGCGTGGCGCGGGCCGGGGCGTGGCCTCCAGGGCGCGACCTATGAGGACGGGCCCCCAGCGCTCCGACCGCTGGGAATGGTGGTTCAGGAGCGGGGGCGGGGCTGAGGGCGGGGCTAGACGCCGGATCCAATGACGTCACGCTCAACCCACAAAAAGGCGCCGCTACAGTTGCCAGACTGCCTGTGGATATCGGTCCGTTTCCTCGTCTAAAATTAATGTGTTAAATGAATAAAACAAAGCTCCATCGACATCTAAAAAATATTTTAAAATTAGAGAATTAAAAATTTCTTTAAAAAATAAAATTAGTATGTTATACCTAATTAGGATGAATGAATGAAATTAGATTGTGCTCAAAATAGATAGATAAAAATGTGTGCGCACACAGTGGAGTCTCTCACTCAGCCATACAGCAGAAGGAAATTATGTCTCTGCTGGTAAATGGCTAGATCTGGAGAACATCATGCTAGTGGAATAAGCCAGACCCAGGAAGTCAACGGTTGCAGGCTTACCCTTACATGGGAAAGCCAGAGAGAAAGAATAAATTCTAAAAGGAGAAGTGGGACCTGGAAAAAAAAAAAGAAAGAACAATGGAGTATAGGGCAGGGAAAAAGGAAGAGGGAGGAGGGATGGAAAGGGGAACATCTTAATGGAATTAACCAAACTATATCTGGGAATAAGGAACATGTCACAGTGAATTCCATTTTTATGTATGAGTATAATGCATCATGAGAAACATCAACTTTCAAAATAAAAGATAGCTGGGCAGTGTTGAGAGCCACAGCCAAAGGGGCCCCAGCAAACTTCCAGCTGCCAGCAAACTTCCAGCTGCCGGCTGATGATTGGCTCACAGTGGCCCCAGCAACATCTAGCTGATTGGCTCCTC